TAGCGAACGTAGTACATAGGGCGACATCTAGATGTCATCTACCTCGCCCTATTCACTACAGATGTCGCCCTATGCACTAGACTTTTTATAGGAACTTTTAAAGAAATGGCGTGTCGTCTATTTCAGCTGTAGCGAACGTAGTACATAGGGCGACATCAAGATGTCATCTACCTCGCCCTATTCACTACAGATGTCGCCCTATGCACTAGACTTTTTTATAGGAACTTTGCAAAGCAAAGGTTTTATGGTGTCGGACACACAACATTGAAAGTTTCTGGAGCCACAACATTGCAAGTTGATAAAAGCGTTGTAAAAAAGCACAAAAAAAGCACTAAAAACGCTTAAAGCACCAAACTCAAAAATTTTCGCGTTTTGAATTAAGAAAAATTTAGTGCGAAAAGCACTAAGTTGGCAACAGTGCTGAGCAAACCTTTTATTATTGACTCATGGAAAAAAATATATATAAAAATCATAAAATAATGATTAAATGCTGATTTAAATTACATATTTTATTCATAACGATTACCGCTGGTAGATACATATTTTTTTAGTATTTCGAAAACGATGTTGTTGTTAGTTTAATTTGTTTATCACCCATGACTTAGAGCGCTTAAAGGGCACGACATCCGATATTTTATCCATACAAATTTGGAAACAGTACTAATATTTACATTTATGTAAATATCAATAAAGATATCGATAAATTTATAAAAAGTAACAACTAATAATTGATAAATGCACCGTCTACGTGACATGAAAAATTTTATGAATTCCAGTATTAACCACACCCACTTTTTTCAGCACACAATAATTACATACATACGTATATTAATATTGGCTTAGCAATTTATAATTTAAAAAATTTTCATCATAAATTATTGCGCATCATTATATTTTCCATATTTTTCTGCAACGTTAAATGCGTAGGCAAAACAATAACACGCAAATATTCTAAATGAGGCATTAGAAATGCGTTGGCTGAATATTTCGCAAAAAAAAAATAATAATGTGATAAAAATAATGAAAATATGTAACATATAGGAAGCCACACTAAATACATATGTACATGCATTCATACACACATCCATTTCATTTCATACACACAGCCGTTCACATTTGCATACATATGCGTGAAAAACAACAACAAATCTGAGTAAGTACTAGACCCAACAAGTGTAATCGAAAGATCAACATAAAATTACAACGAACGCAAAAATGCCGCATACACACCCACTTTAGGGCAGAGAGTAGGTAGTGGGCAAAGAAATGAGTGTAAAGAATTGTTTACTTTACCAGACAACACACAATCAGCACTACTGAGCAACAGCTGATTGTTATTGCAACAACTACGAAAAACAAAAATTAAAAATTTCACATTTGCGTGCAATAAAATAGCAGCAGAGAAGCTCTTAGTTTTAAAATTGTATGTACATTGCTTATAATTTAGAATTGCCAATTCCGAACCTTTATGAGTTATTAGGAATTTTTGAAAATGTATTTTGCTCTGAGCAATAAAATGTGCTCCATGGCTATGGTATCATTGAGGCGTCGCTATACACGTGGTGCTCATGCGACATAAAAAGGTATCCCATTGCTGTCCGGAGTGAACATTTTTTTGATCGAACCATTCCTGGTCGAGCCGCCCACTAGGCTTTGTTTTTTTTTTTCATAAGTACAAAATATTAGATACTATTGACAACTATTTATTCATAAAATAAGGCGCTTTGTTTTTAAATTTCTGAACCTACAACAACGACAGACAAGCCGATTTAGGCAGTTCTTAGTAGATCCGTTACAACATACACATCGGGGCTCCTTCATCGCAACTAGTCGATAGCCGTCAATCTATGCTATTTTAAAGCTAAGTGTACACGGTAGAGAAATCTCGCTAGAGTTTTACTGAAATTAAAATCTCCTCCCGCAATTAAGTTTACACGGCGGAACAACTCTAGGAGATATTCACTCCAGCTAGAGTGAAAATAGAGAAATCCCAACTTTTCTCTATCACGTACTCTACAAGTTGGGTACACGGTAGACAAATGTTTCCTTTCGCCTAGAGTTAGTTTTCGATCACGAATTGTTGTCAACGCTTGTTGTAGGTGGCTTGTATAAAGGTGGCGCCATACGCGGACAGCTAACCCTTTCACCTATTTTCTGCGTCATAAAATAGTTTTTCGCACTAGGGATGAAAATTGAATTTTAAAATTTTATACCCAAAATATTGTATTTTTATGCGCCTACATTTTTGATAGCGGGTGGCTACCTTTCTCTTTGGTAGCATGTACTTCTGCACTCACAATCAACAATCTTTGCTATTAAATATTTCCTTGAAAGAAATTCCTCGGAGCAGTTCCATCCAAAAGTTATTTGGTTACGTTCTAAATGTACCTAAAATGTACGATGTAATGTCATGGCCATATTTAAACTTACCAAACTGTGATGAAATTCATTGTCAAAACTTTACCTCTCCGAAGAGCAAAAACTCTATTTAGCTTGCCAAATAGAGCGCAGAGTTTTCGATCTAGTTGCGATCGACTGTGTACAAGACGAAAAAGTCTCGCTAAATAACTCTCACGTAAACTGGGTAGCTGAGTCTCTCGTAGAGCTCTATTGTGTGTTTACACATCTCTTGCAAGATTATTGTCTAAGTCTCGAGGTTTTTCTCTACCGTGTACACTTAGCTTAACGCCGTGCGAAAGAAGTCGATGAACCATCCTAAATTTGTACTAACTCAGCGCCGTGAGACAAACTATGCCAGCTCAGCTTTTTGAGACAACTAACCTAACTCAGACGCGTAAATTTGTTGTGTTGTATGTTAAGCTATTAAGCTATTGAGTTAAGACAGTTTTCTGACATAGTAAGGATAGTTTGTCTGACAAAGCTGAGATAGGATAGTATGTCTAACAACGCTGAGTCAGGTTAGCTTATCGAGTTAGGATAGTAATTCGCACGGATAGGATAGATTGAGGACTATCTCCCGGTTGAGATGAACTAGCCCAGGTGCATCGATAATAATTTTATATGGAAAACTGTGGCCACATCAAAAGAGTGACTTGCCGTAGACAGATAGTCATTTCCTAACCGCACTTGCTCGATAACTGCTATTTTTCTGCGCGCAACTGCTAAACAAAATCAAAACAAACAACTATTTAAGCGCTGTTTCAACTGACAGCATTAACATAGTCGAACTGATCAAAAATAAATCAATTATAAGAACAATAGCGAAAACAAAAAGCGAAATTCTCAGTGATGCATAATTTTTCCAGTGGCCATCCAATAATACCTTAATCAGCTGAGCAACAACATATTAAAATTATCAATAAAACAGAAACAACGAACATCAATAAAAGCAGAAGAAAGCCCAAACGTTTCAGAGAGGTAAACAAAAAGTCTGTACAAAAACAAAGCGATCAAATTATTCAAAACAAAAATAATTCAAAAAACACTAAAAATTAAAAATCAAATGCAGCAATAAACAAAACACACAAAAAAATAAATGGAAGCAAAATCAATAGAAATGCATATACATATATAGTAATAACAGCGAGTCAACAAGTCTCCGAGCGTGTGAGAGTCATCGGCGCGCGCTGCTAAGCACGTTCGCTAAAGTAGTAGCTAAAGCAACTATACCAGCCAATAGCACGCAACAGTCGAACAAGTCCGGCCGTGTCGAATAGTCACAAAACACGGCAAGCGCAAAGTGCTGATAAATCAATTCAAATTTAAAACAAATAAAATCGTGTAAATAGTGCGCCAGAATCCAATTGTCGTCGTCTAGGTGCAACAGCGTCAAAACGAACTGGATTGAACAAAGTATCGGTACAGTATTTAGGTCAGCTGCTCAGGCAGTCCAACTAAGGAATACTATAATCCTAGATATATATCGGAATTGGTTTTGGAATTGGCGTTTGGAGGTTGGAGATTTGCGATTGCTAAATCAACCAGTTGGAAGTATTTAGAGCACTTTGTTCCTTAACTACCAAGGAAACATACCAAGGAAACACTAACAACTTCGTCAGCCATAAAGAAATTAATCAATCGAGCGCATGAAGCTCGGAACACTTTGACGACTGCAACCNACACTAACAACTTCGTCAGCCATAAAGAAATTAATCAATCGAGCGCATGACTGACTCTTGACTCACAACTGCCTACAGCCAGCCAGCCGCGCGNAGCTGATTTTAAAGTTTGACATTTTGGTATATTTATTTCACAAATTGTGTATTTTTATTTAAGTAAATAAGAAAAACATGAACAATCAAGAATATGTGATTAATTTTGCGACAATTTAATTTTGCAGCACTACATCTACTCATTGTCGCCGGCAAAATTAGAAATAGATTTAATTTGGCGACGTCGACAATTGCAGTCCTGCAGCCAAGATGTCGTGCTGTCGTCAAAATAATTGTGTCCGTAAGAACGTGTGTATTTAAAATTTGACAGATGCTGCTTGTCGCTTGCTGTCGTCAAAGTGTTCTGAGCTTGACTGACTCTTGACTCACAACTGCCTACAGCCAGACAGCCGCGCGCCTTCAACAGCTGATCTGATCAGTGGAAGAAAAGAAAAAAAAATAACAACAAACAAGAAAAACTCGCCAGCATATTACGAGAAATACCGCTATCAACACGCTTAGCGCCGCGCAAAAAATAGCAAATGAGAATGAGAAAACACTAAATAAAACAAAAAAAACAAGAAAAAACATTTGTGTAAACGCCAGTTATTTTAGTAGATTACATTTATTACAGTGATTTAGTAAATGAAAAAATAAAAACGCGCCAAGTTACAAAATAAAGGAATAAACGAAGAGTGAGGTAACGCGAAAAAATTGCAAATATTTTAAAATAAAAACTAAGAAGAAAACAAAGTTTGCAGAGTTTGGAAAAAATAAAAATAAAAATTAGCTCAAAAATATTTACACCACTTAGACACTTACGCTTTTGCGAAGTGTGAAGTGATTTGCAATTGTAACAAGCTTCGCTCAAATAGTTTTTTTTGTATTTCGTTAATTTACACTCATACCAAAAAAAAAGCTTTAATAAAGTAGTGTGATGATGTCGTCATCAAATAGCCTGCTGCAACGTTTGCTTGCCAAACAAAACAATAACAGCAACAACAACAACTACGTAACACAACATTTAACGTGGCTAACATATCTTACAATGCTGCTGATGCTCTTCGATATGCAGTTCAAGCGTGCGGAAGCGCTTAAAGTTACGGTAAGTTGCATGCCAGCAAAAAAAAATGCAAATCATTATTTACATAAATGAATGTTTAAAACTCCAACAAACCAGTTTTTTTTCATTTTATACAAGTCTTGGCCTATCAATAAAGGTTTTGAGTTTTTCAAGTTTCCAAGGCCTTTTCCAGGGAGCCCCATAAATAGTATTGAAATTATATCCTTGGTTATTTTGGGGATGAACAGTTCACCATACTTGATTCCAATAAATGAATGTTTGGCGCTGAAACGTTTCCTACGTTTTTGGCCCAGCTTCTCCCCCAATTCGGGTTCTGATTATTGATGTTGTGACACAAGTGGAGATCCGAAGAAGCTTTTTAATGATAGAAGTACACTCGGAGGTTTGAACAATTTTTTTTTATCTTGCTGGGGCCACAAATTGAACCATGGGTCTCCCGAGTGGCAGTAGCCAGATCTAAGCACTCGGCTATGNTTTTGCGAAGTGTGAAGTGATTTGCAATTGTAACAAGCTTCGCTCAAATATTTTTTTTTGTATTTCGTTAATTTACACTCATACCAAAAAAAAACAAAAAAAAAGCTTTAATAAAGTAGTGTGATGATGTCGTCATCAAATAGCCTGCTGCAACGTTTGCTTGCCAAACAAAACAATAACAGCAACAACAACAACTACGTAACACAACATTTAACGTGGCTAACATATCTTACAATGCTGCTGATGCTCTTCGATATGCAGTTCAAGCGTGCGGAAGCGCTTAAAGTTACGGTAAGTTGCATGCCAGCAAAAAAAATGCAAATCATTATTTACATAAATGAATGTTTAAAACTCCAACAAACCAGTTTTTTTTTCATTTTATACAAGTCTTGGCCTATCAATAAAGGTTTTGAGTTTTTCAAGTTTCCAAGGCCTTTTCCAGGGAGCACCATAAATAGTATTGAAATTACATCCTTGGTTATTTTGGGGATGAACAGTTCACCATACTTGATTCCAATAAATGAATGTTTGGCGCTGAAACGTTTCCTAGCTTTTTGATGATAGAAGTACACTCGGAGGTTTGAACAATTTTTTTTTATCTTGTTGGGGCCACAAATTGAACCATGGGTCTCCCGAGTGGCAGTAGCCAGATCTAAGCACTCGGCTATAGAGGCAAATGCTTTTGATCTAAAAAAAAAACTTTCAACTTATTGTGCTTTGCTCTGTTCTTAATAAAAGCTATCTGTACTGTTAATAGCTTTATTGTAATTTTAGTCCATGACTTCATACCAACAAAGCATTTTCACTGTAAGAAAACTATGTAAAAAAAAAACCGGTTTATCTTAATTTCAAAATTGGAAACCGATTTTCTTCAAATTGCAATTTTTCGAATAACTCGAAACCCCGGTTTGAAAAAAACCGAATGATCGAACACCCTAATATGTATGTATGTATGTACATTAGACTGTGCCAAATAAAACGTTTTTTCCTATCGTTAGATCCTATCTACTTCAAACTTACACTTTGTTACAAATATAGGTTTTTGTTATTTTTTTTTTTTAATTAATTGTTTATAAAAATAGACGCCGAAAAATTATTATTCATTCCAGGGAGCGGTAAGTGAAAAAATGAAAATTTCTTTATCGGCTAATTAATTGTTTATAAAAATAGACGCCGAAAAATTATTATTCGTTCCAGGGAGCGGTAAGTGAAAAAAAAAGATAGAGAACTGAAATGATACCAATTTCCTTTTTTTTTTGTGACCGACACGAAATATCATATGGGACCGAAAGAAAAAAACNAAAACTTTCAACTTATTGTGCTTTGCTCTGTTCTTAATAAAAGCTATCTGCACTGTTAATAGCTTTATTGTAATTTTAGGCCATGACTTCATACCAACAAAGCATTTTCACTGTAAGAAAACTATGTAAATAAAACCGGTTTATCTTAATTTCAAAATTGGAAACCGATTTTCTTCAAATTGCAATTTTTCGAATAACTCGAAACCCCGGTTTGAAAAAAACCGAATAATCAAACACCCTAATATGTATGTATGTATGTACATTAGACTGTGCCAAATAAAACGTTTTTTCCTATCGTTAGATCCTATCTACTTCAAACTTACACTTTGTTACAAATATAGGTTTTTGTTATTTTTTTTTTTTAATTAATTGTTTATAAAAATAGACGCCGAAAAATTATTATTCATTCCAGGGAGCGGTAAGTGAAAAAATGAAAATTTCTTTATCGGCTAATTAATTGTTTATAAAAATAGACGCCGAAAAATTATTATTCGTTCCAGGGAGCGGTAAGTGAAAAAAAAAGATAGAGAACTGAAATGATACCAATTTCCTTTTTTTTTTGTGACCGACACGAAATATCATATGGGACCGAAAGAAAAAAACTCGTTTCATCTGACACATTCTCATGCACATTTTTGTGTACGTATACTTATGTTTATGTACGTATGTATGTACTACATATGCATCACACTATGGAAAGTGTTGTAACCAGCTGGCACTCGAAAATGCAGCAAAAAATAAAACGAAACAGCATTAAATTATCACATTTCCGTTTGATTATACAGCTGGGTAATTATTGGTTAGTTTTGAGGGGCTCGTCCAGAAACAAACATGTGTACATGCATACCTACATATATAGTACATATGATGTGCACGGTTGCCGTTTTGGTCCAAATGGACCAAATTTGGTAATTATTTTTTTTTTTCGTTTGGTCCATTGGTCCAATGCTTTTTCTAATGGTCCATTCCACAATGCTTTGGTTTGACTATTATCACCCTTTCACTTCATTCAATAGTTTTTAATTTTTTCTATTTAATTGATGAATTTTTGGCAACACCTACCTACTAAAAGTTTGAATAAGCCACAGAATTTCAAATATGGCATCGCTAATCATCTGTCAAAGCACGCTTCAAAAAATTCCGCGGTCTCTTGATAATTTCAATCAANTTTTTTTTTTTAATTAATTGTTTATAAAAATAGACGCCGAAAAATTATTATTCATTCCAGAGAGCGGTAAGTGAAAAAATGAAAATTTCTTTATCGGCTACAAAAAAAGTTATAAATTGTGGCAAAATTATAGCCCTCTATCTTAATTTTTAAGTTAGTGCTCGCAAAAATAAGAATTTTCAATAAAAAAAATTTGTTCCAATCCTTTCTTTAAAAACAATAATATACAACAACAAAAAAACAAGAGGCTTGTAGCCCATTCTATTTTGGTAACAAAGTGCATATTTGAACCATCTGTGACTTACCGTTGATTTTTGGCTATTTTTTTCGTTGACAATCAGTCATTTCTTTCACACAAAGTATGTTCGACGAAGTTTTATTTGGAAAAAAAATTAGCGACACCTTCAACAAAAAAAAATGCCAAAAATCAACGGTNATAAAAAAAGTGAAATGTTCTCGTTTCACATAAATATAAGAATTACTTCGTTATTTTCAAGTTCATGCGATACAGACATACCTATGTACATACATATGTACATTTAAAAAAAATTATGCAGTGCTTTTCAAGACATTCGGAGTATTCATATTACGTGATAAAATTCCATACAAATTTATAATTTTATCGCGGTTATCGGCAGCTTGTGATGTTAGATGAGTTCCCCTATTGAGGAAGTCCCAAATTTTTTCTTTCGTTTTAAATTTCGACGATTAAAATACAACACTGTACAACTCCAAAAAGAAGTACCAAGTTTATAGCGGTTAAAAAACAATATACCAGTATAGCNTTTTTTTTTTTGTGACCGACAACGAAATATCATATGGGACCGAAAGAAAAAAATNATAGCGGTTAAAAAACAATATACCAGTATAGCCGCATAGTGGGACCGGAAACGCTATTTTACTCGTATTTATGCAAAGTGGGGAGCATGTTGAACTATTGATATAACTTTAAAAAAA